GGTCTGTTAATATTTTCCTCCTTTTATTTCTAAAATTGAAAAAAAAAAACAAACAAAAAAAAAAACAGTCCAAGCTGCACCTGGGGGACGGGTTGAGACAACATACCCACTTTTGATTTTCCAGACTTTGCGCCTGGAACTGTAAAATAATGGGTGAAAGGCGAAGGCCCACGGGAGAAAGACGGCTTACCAGAAACAATAACGGCTTACATGGATTTCTGAAAACAAAAAGTCAGGTCACCTCGACTACATGAGCACACGCACAGAGCTTTTCTCCCACCTGCAGGACGCTCTTCATTAAATCCCGCCACGTCTTGTCCACCGCCGTGAAGCGCCGGCCTTCCTCGGGCATCTGCGACATGATGTCGGGGGAGCTGAAGATGGGCTCCAGGTACAGCCACGTGGCCTGGACCTTGAGCCACTCGTCCAGGATCTCCTGCAGCAGCAGCAGCTTGCCCTCCCACTCCCTGCAGAGATACAAGGGCCATGGTCAGCCGCAGAGCCACTTCCAGGGAACTGAGCCTGTCCGCGTGCATGGTGGCTACTGCAGTCTCCTGCATGTGCTCAACAAGGAATCATGTGACTGCCTCAACAGACCTGTCTCTAAAATAGTAACGGTGCATACATGCATACACACATGTGAGGGCAGACACACCCATCCACATGGCTGCTCTGCACATATGCCCGAAGAGCACACCTACAGAGGTGTTGGTGGTATAGTGGTTAGCACAGCTGCCTTCCAGCAGAGCACGCCTTTCCAGCACCCGGTCTACTGCGAGAAGTTCCAACTTCTCACATGAGATGCCGGGGACAGTAAACTGCTCTCGGTGAAGGCTCACTGGACTTCTAAGGACGTGTCGTTCCACCCAAGACTCATATATTTCCTCTAACATTCTTTTTCTTCCCCTTTAATGTGAGCACATGAGAAGCTTCATTTCTAGGACGAAATATTTTAACTTGTAGGCTGTAACTTACAGGATGCAATATTCCTAAGTATATTAGAGTGGCATTTGTGAGAAGGAAGCATATTTCACATTACAGTATGTTATGAGTTCATTTCTAAACACAGAAAACAAACAATGACAATTTCCCTAAGAGCAAATATTATAATCACTCCATCAGCTAATTATTTTACAGTACAGCTCTTATGTCTCTGTATTTTCTCCATCCTGATGGCCCTGTGGCAGAGTCCACTGAAATATTTACTTGGTGTAGGGGAGATCAAGGCACCGAGAGGGGTGCGCCAGGCTCGGGTTCACCCAGCTAATGAACAAGAGCCTGGATTTAAACCCAGACAGCTGTAATCACTCGGCTCTTAGACATAGGCTAGCCATAGAGATAAAACTATATCTAACAGCAACCGGCCCTAGAGGTGGGATAGCTTTATGTGCTTATTACCACATTATTTAATTAAAAGTGGTGATCTGATATTTTAGGTCAGTAAAAGAAAAACATGTCAACAGTTTTGCAAGTTACTGAGCATTTTCAAACGCCTTTCGAAAGTTTTTTTTTCAGTGTCTGCCAGTGAATTCATTAGACTTTTTTTTGTGCATGAAGACACGAGCACCTCTGCTTTCTTCTGGTGCTCTTCTGTATTCCTCGAGTCCCTGTCTGGTGCAGGGGATTTCCCTCTATGCACAGTCCCTAAAAGAAATACAGAAGCACCTAGATAAGCCACTTGCAGGTAGTGTGTTTTCTCTGAGACCCACGCGGCTGCAGTGCGGCAGAGGCAGGACCCAAAACAGAGAATGGGCCGGTTCCTGTCAGTGTGTGTTCTGTGGGTCCTCAGGGCAGAACCAGACGCAGAGACAGCCAAGTAGCCAGCCCTCCCTGGCCCATGCAGATTCTCACAGAAGACAGCGCAGTAGTCTGTTTTTTAAGGTAAAATACAAACTGCTTGTTACAAAAACTGAGAACACTGACAGACAGGACAAAAATGTAATATCAGTGTCAGTGTCTGCTGCTTCAGAGTGCAGGTGAAAATGACAGCTTCACTCTCTTGCGCTTTTTAGCCTTCATGAATATAAGCAGAAAGTACAACAGGTATTTAGGGCACGCCTCTGAACTTGTATTTGGAAAATGACATTTTCAGCTCTAGTTTTAGAATTTATATATCTTTACAAAGATACTCTTGTAATCTTTATAAAGATACTTGTGTACTCTTTCAAAAGCACTTCCGACAATGAACTATTTCAAACATTGTGAGGTGCAAAAGAAAACCTCACATTTCTCAAAAGAAACCTCACATTCAATAATTCTGTAACGTGGTACAAGCACTACCATATCACCTTACCTTATTTGTTTTTCATAAGGCTTAATGAAAGGAGATCCCCGCATCGTCTGTGTTTTGACAATGTGGTCATCCAACAGCATCTGAATTTCATCAACTGCCGACAGGATGTACGTCCCACTCTCCCTGTAAGGAAGAATGACAAATTCCATCCCGTCCCACTCGGTGATCATCTTCTCCATGGCCTTCTCAAGAGAATATTCCTTGCTGGCCGCTTCACTGATACCCTCAAACTTGTCGAGGTACGGCTCGAGATTCAGGTCTATGAAGGAGAAGACAGTGGAGTCGTCGGCGGGCTGCAGCGGGTAGCCCACGATGGCGGACATGGCCTCCCAGTGCCTGGGCCGCAGGCCGGGGTTGCAGATCACCTGCACCAGGGGGATGTACTGCTTGAAGTCCTCCACCTTGGATCTGACTTTCTTGGTCATGGCCAAGGCGTTTGGAGAATCGTGGAAGATCTTCTCTAGCTTATAGAGGCCTCTCCAGTAATTCCCCACATCCGCCTCTACCTGGTCAGGGTTCACCTTGTGGTAGGGCCCTTCTGTCCACGCTTTGTACTTGTTGCTGAACTCGACGGTCGTTTCGTAGAGACGGAGGTACGGATTCAAACCATCTTGGATTTTTTTCCGTTGAGGATATATTGAGGGCAGCCAGCCAAAGGCCTCTTCTTCGGCATTGAATTGCAGGATCTGAAAAGATGGGTATTAAATGTATTGTTTTGAGTGTAAAACTGAAAGTCAAGTTTTAAGAATATCTATTTCAATGTGAATCAGACAGCCCTCAGACAGCCCTAAAATTAAACTTTAATAAATCTAGAAACATTGAATAGTAATGTTTCCTGTTTTTCTCCTATTTAAACTGACAAATCAAAACTGTATATAGTTAGGGTGTACAATAGTGTTTTGAAATCTGCATGCATTCTGGAAAGAAGATACCAAGCCAATTAACATAGGTATCCCCTTGCACACCTTTTCTGTGATTGGAAAGCTTCACATCCTCTCAGCTACGTTCAAGTACACAAAAAGCCGTTTTAAACGATAATCACCATGTTGCACAATACATCTCTTAAACTTACAGTGGTACCTCGGTTCACAAACTGAGTTCTTTCCTGGATTCTGGTTGCAAGCTGAACTGGATGAGAACCGAATCAAATTCAGCGCTTAGGGGCACTGTTGACTTTACAGGGAAATTTGATTGGGTTCTCATCCAGTTCAGTCTGCAAACAGAATTGTGGAGAGACTTAAGTTTGTGAACTGAGGCACCACCGTACACCGTACTGCTTCTATGTAATGGAAATTTCACATCCTTGGACCAACGCCCTCCCGACCCTGCTTCCCTTCTGGCACCCAGTGACCACCACACCCCTTCCCCGCCTAGGACTTTGACTCTTTTAGGTCCCATGTATTAATGAGCACAGGTCAAACGTGCACTTTTGGGCCAGACTTATTTCATCCAACACATCTAGGCTCATCCGTACTGTCGCAATGACTGAATTTACTTTTTAAAAAGGCCGAATAGGCCTCTATTTCTTTTTTTTTTTAATTACAGTTGCCAACAATGTTTGGTCACATTAATTAAAACAATCAAAGAAATTTGTATTTATGGCGAAGTTTTTGCCCACCAAGATACAGTGAGAATCTAGCTTCACTCATTAAAGGAATGTAAGTACTTTGAATAAACATAGTATTGTGTTACAGACTGTGGAAAATAGAAAAGAAGTATTATATTGTAAAGCCCAATTCCTAAGAGTTGGTAATCCCGCTCAGGGGAAGGGATAGAGAGGTGGGAATTTCAGCAGCGGTTGTTCAGTAATCTAAAGTATCAGCAGTGATGGTAAGATCAGCAGCAGCAGCAGCATTCATAATATAAAATGAAGAGTCTGTGCACATGTGTGCTTCTATATCTAAAGCTGCCACTTGGACAGGGGACAGTGCTGAAACGGTGCAGTCCCAGGTACTTCTGTGGAGAAGATGTAACAGCATTTGGTCTGAAAGATGAGCAGGACAAGAAGAGGCAAAGGAAGTTGTGCTCTTCCCTTAGTTTCCATGTGAAATGTGTGAGGGTGAGGTTGGTCCACAGGAGGAATCTATAGCTTTGGAGCGTAAGCATTATCAATTATGCACAAGTTACTTAAAATTTTAATGGCCTCAGTTTAAAAACAGTTTATTTTTATTTTCTCAATGTGTGTTGGCGTATTTGTGATTATTATAAACTATTCACCAGTACTCGGGAGGCTGAGGCAGGAGGATGGTTGCAACTTCGAGACCAGCCGGGGCTACAAAGTGAGCTCAAGGCCAGCCTGAACTGCATAGCAAGACCCTGTCTCAAAAAGACCAAAAAAAAAAAAAAAAAGAAGAAGATATAAACTATTCAATTACCTGGCCAGATATTAAAACCTTTCAACGTAAGAGAAATGTGGGGCATCTTACTATAGTATGTTTCCATATTTCCCCTTTTTATATAAAATGTAATTAAAACTTTCAGACACTACATATGGCAAAAGGTCAAGCTTTCACTCTTTTGGCTCCTCCTAATGCGAAAGCTAATTTCTGAAACAGCAGGACTGGGAACATAGTGGCGGATAGAGAAAATACTGGCTCCAACTTTAAGACACAGCTGAAATATCTAAGCAGGCTTCCACGAACATCCATTCCACTGTGATTTGCCTGTTACTGGTCAAACCATGGTCCCAACTATCAGGGCAGAACCATGATGCAGCTGATTTAAAGATACAAATAAAAACGGAGACACAGGCCGAGATACAGCTGTGTCTTAAAGAGGAAGGTCCCCGAGATGCACCAATACCGATGGAAACAGCCTCGCCGCTCCCGTATGAAGCACGTCTAGAAGGGTCTATTTGTGTTGTTTCTATTATCTATAATTACACATAGCCAATGTGTTTTACGTATTATTACAAACACCCAATGTGTTTGCCTTGCAGAAACAGACTGAAGCAGAAGCAATGAAGGCAATGTTTCCCCAGGAACAATGAAGGCAATGTTTCCCCAGGAACTAGCTCATCCCCCGAAGCCCGTTCACAGCGGACCTTGTCTGCGGCCGCGTCCAGCTTGGTGTTCAGCGCCTGCGCTTTCTTCAGGTAGCGCTGCATGTCCTGCAGGTCCCCGAAGCTGTAGAACTCCTCGGCCTGCTTGGCATAGCTCTCCAGCTCCTCCACAAACCGCTCGCACCGCAGCTAAGAAAAACAGCGCTGTGGTTAATGTTGAGAAATTAAAATCCCTAGGCCTCAAGAGAAAATGTAAATATTCCTTGAGGATTAGCAGAATGATTACTGTACTTTGTCACCAGCAAAACAACCAGAGAGCTGATCTGGACGAGGTCTGAGATCTAAAACCCACACAGAACTTTTAAGT